GGTTTGAGTTTTAGTAGTGTTTCTTTTACGAATGTGGGTGCCTTTGTAGTTGGGACATAGAGGTTCAGAATTGAGACTTTGTGTTGATGGATTTCTCCTGCGATGAATATGAAATGACTGTTTTCATGTCTTTTGATTAATTTTGGTTCGAAGTTGTTAGATATTAGGAGGCCACACCTGCTTGCTTCTTGGGTCCATTTGATTAGAAGATCTTTTCCCAGCCCTTTACCCTGAGGTAATGTTTATCTTTGAAGCTTAGATGCGTTTCTTGTGTGCGGCAGAAGGATGGATTCTGTCTTCATATCCATTCTATTAGTCCGTGTCTTTTTATAGGCTAGTTAAAACCATTAATGTTGAGGGAGAGTATGGACCATTGATTGTTAATGCTTGTTTGTTTTAGATTTGTTGTTGGCAGTGGTATTGTGAATATATTTGTTCTGCTTTACCCTTGGTTTCTGGTGAAGTGGGATTATCTATTGCCTATGAGTGTAGTTAACTTCCTTGGGTTGGAGTTTTCCTTCCAGAACTTTCTGTAGGGCTGGATTTGTAGATATGTATTGTGAAAATCTGGCTTTGTTAGTCAATATCTTGTTTTCTCCATCTATAGTGATTGAGAGTTTTTCTGGGTATAGTAGCCTGGGCTAGTATCTGTGGACTGACTCTTAGTACTTGTAGAACATCTATCCAGGACCTTCTGGCTTTGAGAGTTTCCATGGAGAAGTCAGGTGTAATTTTGATAGGTCTGCCTTTATATGTTACCTGTCCTTTTTCCTTTGCTGCTCTTAATATTCTTTCTTTATCCTGTATGTTAGGTGTTTTGATTATTATGTGTCAAGGGGTCTTTTTTTCTTTGGCCCAGTCTATTTGGTGTTCAGTATGCTTCTTGTACTTTCATGGACATGTCCTTCTTCAGATTGGGAAAGTTTTCTTCAATGATTTTGTTGAATATGTTTTCTGTACCTTGGAGCTGGGTTTCTTTGCCTTCTTCTATGCCTATTATTTTTAGGTTTGGTCTTTTCACAGTGTTCCCAAATTTCCTGGATGTTTTGTGTTAAGGATTTATTAGATTCAAGATTTTCTTTGGTCAATGAATCTATTTCCTCTAGTTTATTTTCAGGGTCTGAGATTCTCTCTTCCATGTCTTGTATTCTGTTGGTTATGCTTGTGTCTGTAGTTCCCGATCATTTGCCCGGTTTTTCTATTTCCAGCATTCTTTCAGTTTGTGTTTTATTTGTTTTCTCTCAGGTTTCAAGTCTTGAACTGTTGCCTTCACCTGTTGTTTTTTCTTGGCTTTCTGTACTTTCTGTACTTTCTGTACTTTCCTTAAGAAATATGTTCATTTCTTCCAATTTTTTGTTTGTTCTTTCTTCCATTTCTTTAAGGGATTTTCTCACATCGTATTTGAGGGCCTCTATCATTTTTGTGATGGTATTTTTTTTTTAAGTCATTCTGTTCTGCTTCATCTGCTTTGGTGTGTTCAGGTCTAGTTGGTGTAGAGTCCCTAGATTTGGTGGTGTCGTGCTTGTCTTTCTATTGTTAGATGTTTTCTTGTATTGCTGTCTTCCCATCACTTCTTCCAGTAGGTGTAGGTGAGATCTCTCTCCCTCTGTGGTACTCCCCAGGTGGGCTTAGGTGGGTCAGAAGTTCGATGTCTGTAGCTCTGCATGGTCCAAGCTCTCTAGGAGATCTCTCCTCAGGCAGGGTCTGGTGATGTGGGTCAAAGATCAGGCTGCAGCAGAAGACAGGTGTTGTGGGTCAAAGATCATGAAGGCTGTGACTCAGGATGTTCTGAGCCAAATAGGTGGATCTAGTCTGTGCCTGGCACTCTCCAGTTGAGGTCTCTTTAGCAGAGACCTGGCAATGGGGGTCAAGGATCTAGCCGGTAGGAACTGAGAGTGGCCCCTTGGGGATAGGCGGATCTCTGGGAGGGGCCTGAAACTCCTGTAGAGGAGCAGCAGTGGGGATCAGAGACTAGGCAGGTGGGGATTCCAGGTGGTCCCGCATGGATAGGCAGGTCTAGTGTGCTCATAACCTCATATAGTTAGTTTTAAGGTCATTTTCTTGTGGTTCTGCTGTGTTTAGTGGCTGGGCTCTGGCCTTCGCTTTTGCTGATTGTGTTCCTATGCTCGTGGCCCTATATCTCACTTTGGGATGATTATAGGTCTAGGTGCTGATTTCTGAGTTTGTCTTTGTTGAACGGGTGTTTTGTTCCTTTTTTTTTTTCGTTTCCTCTTTGGTCTTCTGGCTGGTGTAGCCTATGGTTAAACAGAAGTTCTCATTCAGAGTTGGGGGCTGGACTTCTGGTGGTTGGAGTGGCCTCTGGTTGAACAGCTGTATTTTAATTTAATAGAAGGTATATTTCAATGCTGCTCTTTGTTTCTTTTGAAATTAGGAGGGGACTTACACTAAATTTTCAGCTATTTTCGGGTTATTGGTGTTGAGTTGTTTTCTGTATTGCTGCTATGTGTTTTGTAACCTTCAAGTGAGCTGTGTTGAGCAGAGCAACTGAGCTGATAAGGTAAAGGGAGTAGAGTCTAAGGCACTGTACATTTCTGGAGTTAATTCTTGTCCTATTTGGATCTACCTCAGAGGTCTTGGGGGGCCAATAGTCACATGCCTCCCTGACTGGTTCCAGGAGTGTGCAAAACATGGGGTGAGAGGCTGTATCACTTTGTTCAAGTGAAAATGGGGATAACAGCATTTAAAACTGTTTTTTTTCAAAGCAGGATTTCAAGAGCAAATCATGTAACTCTTTCAGAAATAGGGCCCACCACACAGTGGCAGCTATATAGACCAACAGGTCATTTGATTACATATTTGGTCACAAATGGCCAAACATTAAAAGTAAGAGATGGTTCTAGTGCTGGTCTTTCCATCCACCCTGTAGGCTTACTTGTGACGGGAAAAGAGGAGGTTACTCAATGATGGGACCTTTCCCTCCTATGTGTCCTTTCCCCACAGGAGTAGCAGAGTGGAAGGAGGTAGTCCAGGGCATCTTTCCAGATGAATTTTTAGGTACCTGCCAGCTAGTACTTTGTCAGCTCTGTTTCTTTGATTCAGGGAGTCAGCAGGGATGTATCAAGGGACTGCAGAGACTGGGAAGCCTCTCATCCTGAAGTCTCTTATCCAGGAAGCACCACATTTTGGGTTTATTGGCACAGTTGCTCAGCAACTGGTCAGGGACTTGCTTTGGTCCTCCCTGGGAATGAACTTCTACAGTGGTCTGAACTGAAGGGTCAGGGGATGAGTTAGTGATGCCTTAATCTCCCAATATTTCCATTTTTTCTAATCTAACTTCTTAGGAAATATCTCCTACAATTTCTTCCTGAAAATTTTTTTCCTACATTATTTCCCCTGTTATTTTGGTGAGAATTGTTGCCATATTACAGCCTTTGGCATCAGGAAGACTGTGTTGATCTTCCTATCTTCTTTGGAAGATAGTTACAGTTGGGTAATACTGGAGAGCACCAGGAACCTAGAATAAAGAACTTTTTATCCTGGAGGAAAGGAAGAAGGTAAGGAAGTGCTTCTTTCATATTTTTCTCAGCCAGAAGAGTGCTAACCCTGCATTGTAGCAGACTAGTTGCTGCATTGGTTTTCTGAACTTCCTTTCATGTGTCCTGGGCATAGGGTGCTGGAGGCAGAGATGCTTCACCTTCCTGCCATCCTATCTATTCTTGAATAGGCAATCTCCTCCTCCCATGTTTTGAAGACAGAATGAGACTTTCTCTTTCACATTGAAAACTGCGTAGGGTTGCAGGGAAATCAGAGCAAATGAGATAGGCAGGCCTGGCAGGCACTTGGTAGATGTTAGCTAAGTGGGTTAATTAGAGGGATCCACCCTGAGAAGTCCTGGCAAATGAGGCTATGGGAATTCTGAAGTGGTGAAGGCAAGAGAGTCCAGGATGGGACCTTGGATCAGATACCGAACAGTCCATAAAAGGAACAGGGAAATATCCAAAGGTGGTAGTGTCCAAGGAAATTAGGGAGGATAAGATTCTAGAGAAGATAGTTGTGTCCAGTACTACAGGGACAGAGTAGAAAATTCAGAACTGAGAAACAGCCGTGGGGCCTGTTGTTGAGTATGGCCATTGGGTAATGGACTGGTGGGTGGGAGCAGGCAGACTGCAGCAGGTGAGTAGGCATGGAGGTAGTCCATGCTGAATGTGCAGAAAGGTGACAAGGATCAAGTGTTTGTGGGGGTTGTTTTGGATGGAAGATTAGACCAGGTCTGTAAGCGGAGGAGGATGAGAAATTTGAACCTAAAGGGATAGGATAACTAAAGGCTACAGAAACCCACAGAGACAGCTGACCTGAACAAGGGGGAGCTCATGGACCCCCAGACTGATTGCTGGGAAACCAGGATTGAACCGACTCAGACCCCTGAACATGGGTCTCAATTAGAAGGCCTGGGCAGTCCAAGGGACCTCTGACAGTGGAACCAGGATGTATACCTGGTGCACAAAAGGACTTTGGGAGCACATTTCCCATGGAGGGATACTCCCTTAACCTAGAGGCAGGAGGGAGGACCTAGGCCCTACTCCAAATAACTTGACAGATTTTGTTGACCCCTCCTGGCAGGCATCACCCTCCCTGTGGAGTGTGTGTGTGTGTGTGTGTGTGTGTGTGTGTGTGTGTGATATAGGAGGGATGTTGGAGGGCATGGGAGGGAGGGAGAGGGAACTGGGATCAATATATAGAAGAAGAAGAAGGAAGAAGAAGAAGGAAGAAGAAGAAGAAGAAGAAGAAGAAGAAGAAGAAGAAGAAGAAGAAGAAGAAGAAGAAGGAGAAGAAGAAGAAAAGGAATCCTGGTAGAGTGAAGGTGTTCGACCTCCCTTCCTGGGCCTGACAAAATCACCAGAGAGCTGGATTCAAGTTGAGATACTTTAATGTAAGACATTGAAGGGCACACTGAGAGGTGGTGGTTGGGATGGGCAGTGTGCCGGTGATGAAGGCACCTCCCGTGGCCTAGCATGGGAAATGGTTAGGCATTCTTGTCTTCATGGCTTCTTGACACCACTGGCACCAGAGATTATGTCTTCCACAGAACTTGTGGATTCTCTACTTGTTTTGCTCAGCTTTTCCCCCATTGCCTGGTTTAACTTTGCCAGTCTTCCCTCTGCGCTGGTTTCTGTAATTTGAAGATAGAAATGTCCAGTCAGGGTAGGTTCCCTGTTCACACCTCCATGACCCACCAGGAAAAGCTTCCCACAGTGCTGGCAATTAGTGGATCATTTGATCTCACACTTAAATTTTACGTTTCTTGGACTTTCCCACCCTTTCCAGAGACTCCTTATTTCTACACAAGTCACTGCCTGTCCTGCCTTTCCCTGCTCACCACCTCCCGGATGTTTCCCTTCTCCTCTAGCTCATACCAGCTGAGGTGGTGGATCCTGTGGACTCTTCCAGCTGAGATATCCCACTCCTGGTCCCGGCCTGGGCCTTTTGACTCTGTGATTTGGCACAGTCTATCACTGCATCATCTTCAGAAACCAGCTCTTCTCTGGAGATGGCAGTCTCCTTGGAAGAGTCCTTACCGGAAGTGCTCTCCTTGCTGGTGTGGCTGATGGGAGTGTCCTGGGAAGCTGGAACTAAGGACATGCAGGGAATTAGGGGCAGAGAAAGCTTCCAGGAGAAACAGTGTCCCTTCACATGAGCAGGGCATTAGTGTTGAGTCATCACCTAGCTGACCTATGGGAATATTGAGATCCTACGTTAATATCCATATCCCTGGGCTCCTCAAAGGCATGGGCTGGATTTCTAGCAACATGTGTAGGAATCCCACTCCTGCCATCCCATCCCCCAGCAAATGTACCTTCCAAATAACCCCCACCCTCTTTGCTTGGCTTTTAGGTGGAGTTTATTAACCTTGGTTCTTCCCTCTGAATTACAAGAGTTTTTCTCTTTAGCTTCTCATACTTCTTCCAGGTTAATCTGGGAAGTTAGCTCAAGATTAAACCATGTTTACGGCTAATCTACAAAACTGAATCCTGGGATTTTTAAGGTTTTTGAAGTGCTGTTCCCATTGCAAATTTCTGATGATTACATAGCAGGAGTACTACTGTTCTAAAGGTTCCTGGCCCCCAGATCTATGGCCGATTAGTGCAGCAGGAAGGGTTAATGCCAAAAGCAGGAGGGACTGCGTACTCACTTCTTCCTAGCATCATTTACTTTCTAGTCTTTCATCACTAACAACAGAGGGATGTTCTCATGATACTTACTGGCCGCTGTGTGCTGAGTCTTCATGGGGAGTTCATCTTCAGACCCTGAGGACAGAAGAGGATAAAGTCTCCAGAGATCTCTAGACATGTGAGCTGGTAGCTACCCCACTGCAGCTTCCTCAACCTCTCTCACTCTTTTTTAGTTAGTTTGCTTTAGATAGGGTTTTTTTCTCGATAGCTCTGGTTGGCCTGGAACTTGCATGACTCTCCTGCTTCTGCTTCCTCAGCATTTGAAACCCAGGTGTGCACCACCACAACCAGCTAGTCCCTTACTCAGCTTCATTTAGCATTTCTAAAATACTATGTAATCCATCCAGTATGTGTATTTTTTTCTTCCTCCTTGAATAAAATTTCAATGATGGCAAAGGTCTTTATGTAAGTTGTTAGTGTACCCTAAGTCCCTGGAACTACATATAGTTCAGCATAAGTGCTACAAGTAGCAATGGATATTGGGTGTGCAGCTTTACCTCATTGTACCAGAAAGATGAGGAGGTCTAAAGCAGTGATTTTGTTGGGTTGTACTGAAGCAGCCTCTGGTGTTAGGATTAAACATAATTTCTGGTGACCCACAGTCTGCCCTGTTATGGGTCCAGTCTGACCTCTGAACTCAGTCTTGGCTTTCTGGGTTGCTGGATTCAGGGGTATATGTCTTCATGCTCGCTTCCAGAGGTGGCTTTTTTTTTTTTTTTTTATTCTACATCTTATCACCTTTCCATAAGGGTGGTGATATTGCTCATCTGACAGCCCAATGGCCTCTACAGGACGAAGGGTAGTGGGAAGGAAGACATACTCACCAGGCAGGACAGCAAGAGAGGATGAGGCAAGGCTGGCCAACAGCAGGACAGTGAAGAATTTCATGGTGGCACTGGAGTAAGGTCAGCTTTCCCTAGGAAGCGGTGTAGAGTGCTGGAGTAGCAGCCTGACTGGGGCTTTATTTATTTTGGGGCGAGGATGAGCTGTGGAACAACAGGTTGGGGATTGAACCAGGAAGCAGGCTAGGCTTCCCATTTTGAATACATTGGGTTTTGGGAATTGGTATTTCTGGGAAATGAATTAACAGGAAAGTAAGGCCCCCAGCCTTCCCTTTGGCCTAGCCACTACCAGGGTGTGCCAGCCCCAGGAGCCATCCCTCTGTACCTTTGGGGGGAACTTACTGAGTGGGCTCCATTCCTTAATATTACTCTTTACTGGGGTTATTTTATATTCCCACATCTGATTATTTAATTGTTATCTGTCTCCTTCAGAAGAGTGATGCTTGTTTTTCTTGCCATGGTTTCTTCAGCACCTCTGTAGCAGCTGGGTCACAGTTTGGGTTCAGAAAGTAAGGCTTATGTGATTGAATCTAGAAAAGACCACATGGTCCTCCAGGGTGCAGACAAATCTCCCCATCAGTTCAGGAATAGAGGAGTGAGGCAGGTACAGGGATTTCACCTGCTACATTATATTCTGGGTTTGCTCACATAGGATGTCTCATTTGATTAATAAAATTGGGAGGTTATTTATTAATCAAGGAACTCATATTTCAGCAGTGAGGTGGCTTCTATCAAGCACATTTCTGGATGCATGTTTTCCTTCATTAGTGTATAGTCATTGCAAAATAAAGGGCATCATTGTGTGTGCAGCTTGATCTCATTGTACCAGAGAGATGAGGAGGTCTCTTTGGGCCTTTTTCTTCCTGAAGGTTCCCTTTCTCTTCTTTCTCTTTCCAAATAGTTCCCCTTCTACTATCCATCGGTCTGTTTACCTATCTACACACCTATCATCTATTTATATATCTATATCTATATCTATATCTATATCTATATCTATATCTATATCTATATCTATCTATCTATCTATCTATCTATCTATCATCTATCTATCTATCTATCTATCTATCTATCTATCTATCTATCATCTGTCTGTATTTCTCTTTTTTTGAGACAGGATTAATCTACATAGACTTGGCTGTCCCGAAACTCACTATGTAGATCAGACTGGCTTCTAACTCAGAAAGATCTGCCTGCTTCCCAAGTGCAGGGAATAAAGGTAGACACCACCTAGTCTCTCTGAGTCTGTGGATTGTACCTTTACTTTACAGCTAATATCCATTATGAGTGAGTACATGCCATGTTTGTCTTTCTTGGTTTGGGATATCTCACTTTGGATGATTTTTCCTAGTTCTATTCATTTGCCTTCAAATTTCCTGTTATACTTCCTTGTGTAAATGTACCACATTTTCTTTATCTATTCCTGTATTGAGGGACATCTAGGCTGTTTTCAGGTTCTGGGTATTATGAATAAAGCTTCTATGAACATAGTTGAGCATGTGTCCTTGTGACATGATATCCTTTGGGTATATGCATAAGAGTGGTATAGCTGGGTCTTGTGGAAGATTGATTCCTAGTTTTCTGAGAAACCACCACACTGACTTCCAAAGTGGCTGTACAAGTTTGCACTCCCACCAGCAATGGAGGAGCGTTCTGCTTGCACCACATCCTCTCCGACATAAGTTGCCATTTGTGTTTTTGATCTTAGCTATTCTGACAGTAGTAAGATTCTCAGGGTCATTTTGACTTGCATTTCCTCGATGGCTAAGGATGTTGAACATCTTCTTAAGTGTTTCTTAACCATTTGAGAGTCTTCTGTTGAGAATTATCTGTTTAGACCTGTACCCAATTTTTAAATTGGATTATTTGGTTTGTTGATATCTAGTTTCTTGAGTTCTTTATTATATTTTAGAAATCAGCCTTCTGTGGAACAAGGCATGTTCACGGGGGTGGTGGTGGCGGTGAAGGGGAAATAGAAGAGATTTTTGTGAGTGCACTGAGGGTGGGTGGAGATGGGAACATGAACAATCAGGTGCGGAGAGGGAGATTACTGGGGGACTACTGGAAAGGGCAGGGGGAGGGGGAGAGATTTTGGGATCAGGTAAAAACCCAGCAAAGGAAATATCCCAGAATCTACAAGGATGACCCCAGCTAAGACTCCTGGCAATAGTGGATATGGAGCCTGAACTGGCCATCCCCTATGACCAGATTGATGCCCAATTGTCATCAGAGAGGTTTCATCCAGCAATTGATGGAAACAGATGCAGACCTACAGCCAAACATTAACATTATGCAGAGTTTGGGGAATCCTGAAGAAGAGGTGGAGAAAGGATTGTAGGAGTCAGAGGGGTCAAGGACACATCAAGAAAACTCACAGAATCAACTAACCTGGGCTCACAGGGATTCACAGAGACTGAAACAACAACCAGGCAGCCTGCATGGGACTGACCTAGGCACTCTGTATATATGTTACAGTTACATAGTTTGGTCCTCTTGTGGGATAGATAACAGTGGGAACGGGGGCTGTTTCTGACTCTTCTGCTGACTTTCGGGATTCTACTACTCATACTGGGTCACCTTGCCTAGACTTAACACATGTGGAGATGCTTAATCTTACTGCAACTTGATATACCATGTTTTGTTGATACTAATGGGAGACCTTCCCTTTCCTAAGTAGAAATGGAAGAGTGGTTTGGGGTTCTGGCAACAGAAGGGGTGTGGGGTTGCTGAGAGGAGGGGAGGGAGGGGAAACTGTGGCCAGGATGTAAAACAAACAAACAAGCAAACAAATTTATTGAGCCAGTTCCTTTCTTCATTTTGATGATGTCTGTGAAAACTACTTCTGGACTAGCTCCAGAGAAGAAAGAGTTGATGCATCAAAAACATCTTCCAGGTATGTGCTTGCTGGGCACAGGATAAACCCAGCCTGCAGAGAGAGCAAGAAAAGCCTGGGCTGTGCCAACCAGTGTGAGTCCATCCCCTCTGGAGAGGAGGCCCTAGGGCCTGCATGTTGTTCTCCACTTGCCACATCTGGGATCTCCTGAGGCAAATTGAGGAAGTAAAGGAAGTTTGTTTTGGGCTGGCTCCCACCTCCCTTTCCTGCCTGATTTCCTCTTCTCACCAGCATTGAACCTTCCATGGGCCATGGCAGTTAGGGCAGGAGGGGACAGATGAAGGCAAACAGGTAGTCCAGGAGGGACCAGCAATGCAGACATATCCCCTAATACACTTAAAAATCCATTGTATCTAGGCTAGGTATGTTGTTAGTTTTTTCTCTCCTGTCCTGCATCAAAGTCTACCTTCCACACTAATGCCAGAGATCTGGAGGCCACACCACTTCTCTGTATGAAACTCTCTAGTGACAATCACCATGAGATAAAGTTCAGACTTCTTGGTCCTCTACCTTTTCTACTTTATACCTGCTTTCTGCCGTATGTTCCCTCCTCACTGAAGTGCTAGGTTCATGCTATTTTTCTGTCAAGAAGGCTCTCCTGTCCATCTGCCTGGGGTATTTCTACATCATGCTCTCAACTAGACTTTTCTGCTAGAATGAACCAACCTCCTCACTATCTTGTCTCCTTTGGTGAGTCATCTGCCTCTGTGACCCCACAGTGCCTTGTTGGTGTTAACATGCCTCCCACGTTCTCTATCATGGCCCACTACTATTTACCAAGTGCTATCCATCTGGAAGCTTTGGGACCCTAGCATTTGGACCCTAGCATTATAGCTTTCATTGTCTAGCACTTATCCAATTTTATTGTGATTATATGATTTGAAACCTACTGGTCTTGATGGTCAGTTCCTATTTTCAGGACAGGAATCAGTATTAGTTTATCTCTGAATTTCAATGTATTTAGCACAGATATTAATACTTGTGAGATGTTCCAGTTTGCATTTGTTGAATGAGTCTGTTTGCTTACTCAAAGATGTCCCTTGGGAAATATTTATTCAAGGAAGAATCTCCTTAGTGTGTGGGTATGCTTGGTTCAGGACTTCTGAGTGACCTTCAGCAAATAAATTATTTCAACAAGAACATATTGGATGCAGTTGCTGCTTGTTCCAACTCAGACACAACAGAACCATTCTCTGTTGTGTTACAGAGGATGCCAGTTAGATGTGAATTTATTATCAGCAATGATTTTTTTTAGTGTAAATATGTCTCAATATTGCACAACACATAAGTGTGTCTCAGCTGTGTCTGAGATGACATTTAACTGGGGTTTTGTATTTATTTGCTAAATTTTGCTCTCAAGACTCTGAGTGAGTCCTTCTGTGTTTACATTCCTGCTTTGTCCCTCCAAGATCCCAGAATCAGCATATGTGGTTGGTTGAATCAGATACAGGAAAAATCAATTGGCTACCCCTGTAACTTCTGAGAAAAAAGAGGTCACAGAAGTTCCTTATGTACTATATATCTGACTTTGGCTAGATGACCCTGTTACCCTCACCATTTTTGTCTTGTAAGAAGTATGAGATTTTTATAAAAGTGACCATCCATGGGCTGGATAGGAGGAAGACTAGTGGCTTCTGTGGAGGCCACATGGCAGAGATGCCTATTTATGCATATTAGACAGTCCCTAACCAAGTCAGTGAGGCCCCTCTGAGACTGAGAGACAAAGAACTCCAGAGACATGAAAGCTAAGTAATAGGATGAAAGCAGGAAGCAGAGAGCTAGGCAAACAAGGTGTGCCTACACTGCACTGTGTGCCCCTGGCCCACTATGTCCTGCCTTTGAGCCTTGGTCTCCTTCTCAAAGAGGAAAAAAATCTAAATGGCTCCCAAGTTGCTGTAGGATGCTCATATTAAGACCCAACAGCTCCTGGGCCAGGAGTAAAACACTTCCCATTCAACAATAACTATTCTCACACTTCAGTGAGAATCACTGTGCTGTGCTTTTGAACTCCTCTTCACTAAGTAGGCCTGAGATGTAGCTCAGGAATTAAAAACCCAGCATCTAGGGTAAGCGCTTAGCATTCCTGGTTTCTCCAGTGCTTCTCTGTGAGTGTGAGGACCTTTGTGTTCCCAATAAGCCAGTGCTGCCATCAGGCA